TTTGCGTGAATTTTTCAAACTGAAAAAAGCTCCCTCCATTTTTATTCATTCTGTGAGGGAAGAGAGTTAGGCGATAGTATGTGCCAAAAATAACTACCTCTGACAAGGCTGCTGTTAGTTTTCTCTTCCGCCAGTACATGTACAACAACGGAAATCAGTTTAAACGCTGATAAAAGTTGTATTAGACAGCTGTGAGGTAAGTGAAACTCATTGACTACGCCATCGTAAAATCATCAAGATTCATTGTCATACGCAATTCCACACGCACTGGGGCATCACAAACGCATTTTTGGCCATATGTCTACTACACAAAGCTGATTTTACTCAAAAATTTCTTGGTTGCTTTTCATCATTACTGTGGTGGTATGGACGAGATACACAAGGTCACTACTGTCCAGTTGTCTTTGCGTCATTGAGCGACGAGGGCAATAAGCAGTTCTTTGTTTCCGGCAAAATTAACGTTAGCGCTCCAGCTACCACTGATACGGCGCCAAAAAATATCATCGGCAGCAACGGACTTATAGAGCCCTGCAAATTAACCAGTAAAGTTGACTGTCACTGGCAGTCCTTGATAGATTGGGACCAGTGGAGTCTTGGATGATCAGGGCATGGGCCTGGGCGTGAGAGATTGATTTCGGATCGGTGTTCTTTTCACTTCCAAAAGAAAACGAAACTTCCCTAATTCAGAAACCGAAGAAGAAGGGGAGTTAGAGAGGGAAGGAGCCGATGTCGCATAAACATTAGCATTTCGAAGGATCGGATTCCACTCCACGACATAATTTTAGTATATATAATATGCTTCGATGAGCGCGGGAAAAGAGAGATGGGTTTCATCAACATTGCCTTTACTCATGGTTCATCACCAGGATTTTTTGTTCTTGTTCTCAAAAGGATTGAGGGTCAGTGAAACAAACCAGTAAAGCGACATATGGTGCAACAATGCCTCCAATTCGCGCAATTACGGCGCACAGCCCCAAACAAACGTTGCGCATCGTTGTCGGAAATATTTCACTACCGTACACATAGATGCACATGAATGAGCAGGATATCGCAGATTTAGCAATCAGCCAGCACGAAGTTGACAGCCACGTGAATCCTTAATCACCTGGCACGACAGTACTTTTTGTTAACGTGCTCTGCTACTCAATACGAAAACTGTCTGAAGCGATTCGCCAGAATTTATTTACAGGCTATCTCCACAAAACCCTTTGAAGATTCAGTAGGATGTGCAGGCCAAAGAATTAACCATTTTTTGCGCACGAGGGCATCAGAGCCATTTTAACAAAATTTAAGGAATGAATAGACCAACTTAAAGTAAAGAAATTGAAATGTACAAAAGAGTAAGAGTCAGTAGGGTGGAAGGGAACCTAAGAGATTAAAATGCAGTTAGAAATACCAAAAGAAGTTATATAAGTCAGAATCAGCTTGCTGATGCTTAAAAAAGCTAGAGGAGCTGAAATCTGCTCGGTGGTACAGAAGGATCAAATTAACTACCAAAGTAGATCAAAAGACTGAATCTTGTTCTGATGATTTTCTTTACCCCTAAACTGCTTTCCAACATTTTAGCTTATTGCAGTGCTGGCAGAATGAATTCGCCTTATTTAGTTAGCTTTAACATAAGAATAATTAAATTTTTGATAGATTGCAGCATGGATTTGTAAAAAGCGTAAAATGCAAGCGACAGTAAAGTGAGAGCAGTAATTAATTTTGGATGCTATGGCATCACAAAAAACTAAATTTGTTTCTACCAGAACTGTGCTGTCTCACCTAGGATAATTAGCAGCTAAGCAAAACTAACTTACGAATTGGTATAAATATAAGCGCAGCGAGCGATATTCCAGCTACGAAATGCGTATAAGCCACGACTCGTCTCCTCCCGAGACTGTAAATGAATCTTTACACATAGTATACATGCATATTGGCTGATAGTATAGCACTGGCAGAAAACGGATTCTTTGTTTAAATTCATTGGCACTTAGAAAAATGGCAGTTACAAGTATGCCGAGAAAATGCACAACACAGAAAAGTAAATCACGTGATTGGTGATACTTGAATCTCGAGCCAAAATCTGTCTAAAAATAGCACTGGCCAGCTTCACTTATTGAAGTTAACCATCTAGCAACTTTCACTGGAATTAAACCCTAATAAAATGCTATTTAATGCAATATTCTAAATAGATACTTTGTTTAGCTGTTGTTCCATCGTCGCTCTATTTTTCGCCATTACTGCAGTTGGCAAGTCTTCCACTCTCCTGTCTTGGCCTGCCTCATCCACATAATTCCATGCAACAATTCAAGCAGAACCATCTACCACTTTGGTAATTCCTCTCTTATGTTCGTTCATCATTGTTTGAGTATCATTCAATAATCGGCTTTGCCTGTTTGCTGCTGTCTTTTATCCTTCCTAGATGATTAGTCCAAATCTTCCACGGCATACACTGCCTTCATATTAACGCTCGTACCAACCCGAATCCTTCAGCCAAAATCAGTTGAACCAGTTGAAGTGGTAATTTAATTGTTCAGTAATCGAACAAAGTTCGAATATATAGTTGAATTTATTGCTATGTGTTTTGCAAATAGTGATAATTGATGCTCACTTCTCTAGTACGGGCGGTACGAAAAGATAAGCAGGTAACTCGACCAAACCCGATAACGCATAATTCCAGTATTTATTTCCAGCTAAACGCGTTGTATAAAGTGATAATCCAAAATAAACAAACGTGTCACTGGTCCTGTAATTAAGCCCTATCATTTTTAGCACTAGTGTTGGGTTTAAGAAATCGATCAAAAATTTAATTTGAGTCAGTGAATTTTTTTTGTAAACTGCGCTATTAGGGTTTTGAATGTTGTATGTGTGTAATTTGAAACAGCTGTTAATTTCTCAGAAGTGGAGAATCGCGCATTGCTAGCTTTAGGAAGCTCAGTGCAGAAGTCACTGCGGCACCCAGTTCTAGTGCATCGACAAACAATTTTGCAAAACTTTTGTTGCGAATTTTTCAGCTTCAGAATGCGGCGATTGGTTAAGGGGACTGAGCCGAGACTCTGTGTGTCTTCTGTATTTTGAAGTTTTTATTTGAGAAGTCATCCCTATAACTCCTTTGAATTTCTATGTGGATAATTTTCTGAATCTCCGAAAGACATCACTTTACTCCTAGCGTACGCGGAGTCTAGCACATTGGATGCGAAACGGATTGATGGAAGAAGGAAATACTTACCACAAAAATATTAAAATGAGCGTATACACAATGAAAATTTTGTGCCTTAGTAACTGTTGGAAAACAGATATCCTGAAATCAAAATATTTTCTAAAGTTCAACGCTTTTAGCTTCAAACAATTATATTTATATTCAGAAGCAATGCTTTTGTCTTTTTTTTTCTATCAAGCAAGTCCCAGCTCCTTTTAGAAATTGCTCAAGATTGTTCTAAAAGGCCTTCTCAATTTTTGGTCGAAAGTTCAGCAGTTGAGGTTGCTAAAGCTGTTCCAGTAGTTGCTAAAATTGAAAATGATTTACCAATGCATTTGCTTCCTAGACTCGATTCGTCTTTTCATTGTTTAACTTTTTTATGCATTATTTCTTGCTTTTCAAGCGCTTCTCATGAAAAATGCTCTTTTTACTTCCTCCCCTTCTTATTCTTATTGACGTTTAAAATTAATCAAAATTCGGCTCAAAAAACTATTTTTGCCACAGTGCAAGGTATTTATCGAATCCCCATGCTTAAGGAGTTGCTCAGAATACTTTACTGGATTTATTTCTAAAATCGTTTTTTTTTGGTTCCTGAATAAAAAAATTGATCTAAATTTGATTTCTGAGCAAGGACCAGAAAAAAAGAAGTGAGCTGACGACTAATTATAGTTTTTTGATGCTATTATGTATGCAATCAAAGAGTTTGTTTCCAAAATTTCAGCTTTTGGGGACTGCAGAATTTGCTCGATTTAAAGCCGGAGGTTAAAGGTGAGGATACGAAACGAACCAAAATTTAATTTCTTATTTCTGGCCTCTCAAAATTTTTCAGGTTTTTGGACTTCACATTTAAGAATTCGAAACGTATGGCCCAGAGAGCCATAGGCATGACCTTACTTTATCGCATTTTATTGCTGCATTAGTTGACGGAAAAGCGCATAAAAAGAACCCCAAATCATCGTCGACTTTTTCTTCACT